TTGATTACTTCCTCTCCCATGTTAGGGAACTTTTCCTCTATAATCTCTTCAAATATTTTCTCGGTCTCTTCATTTTTCTCTTCTTCTTCTGGGACCCCTATAATCAGAATGTTGGTGCGTTTAATGTTGTCTGTGAAGTCTCAGAGAATGTCTTCAATTCTTTTCATTCTTTTTTCTTTATTCTGCTCTGTGGTAGTTATTTCCACTTTTTAATCTTCCAGGTCACTTATCTGTTCTTCTGCCTCAGTTATTCTGCTATTGATTTCTTATAGAGAATTTTCTATTTCATTTATTTTGGTGTTCATCATTGTTTGTTTGCTCTTTAGTTCTTCTAAGTCCTTGTTAAACGTTTCTTGTATTTTCTCTATTCCATTTCCAAGATTTTGGATCATCTTTACTATCATTACTCTGAATTCTTTTTCAGGTAGACTGCCTATTTCCTCTTCATTTGTTTGGTCTGGTGCGTGTTTACCTTGCTCCTTCATCTGCTGCATATTTCTCTGTCTTCTCATTTTGCTTAACTTACTGTGTGGGGTCTCCTTTTACACAGGCTGCAGGTTTGTAGTTCCTATTGTTTTTGGTGTTTGCCCCCAGTGGGTAAGGTTGTTCAGTGGGTTGTGGAGGGTTCCTTGTGTAGGGGACTGGTGCCTTTGTTCTGGTGGATGAGTCTGGATCATGTCTTTCTGGTGGGCAGGACTGCATTCAGTGCTGTGTTTTGGGGTGTCTGTGAGCTTGTTATGATTTTAGTCATCCTGTCTACTATTTAGTCATCCTGTCTACTAGTGGGTGGGGTTGTGTTCCTGTCTTGCTAGATGTTTTGCATGGGGTGTCCAACACTGTAGCTTTCTGTGTTGAAAGAAACTCTCACCAATTTCTATTATGTGGGGCCGGGATGTCTGTAGTGGTCCAATGTCCTGAACTTGTCCCTCCCACCTCAGAGGCTCAGGCCTGGCACCTGGCCAGACACCAAGACCCTGTTAGCCACATGGCTCACAATAAAAGGGAGAAAAAAAAGAAAAAAAGAAAAAAAGAATAAATAAAAAACAAAAAAGTTATTAAAATACAAAATAAAAAAATTATTAAAATAAAGAAATATAACACGTAATTTAAAAAATTGAAAAAAAAGAGCAAGCAAACCAATAAATAAACCCACCAATGATAACAAGCACTAAAATCTATACTCAGATAAACATAAAAATCAGAAACTGGTCAGCTGCATACAGAAAACACCGAGTCTACATTTGCTCCCAAAATTCTCTGCCTCAATTTTGGGATGGTTCATTGTCAATTCAGGTATTCCACAGATGCAGGGTACTTCAAGTTGATTGTGGGGATTTAGTCTGCTGTTCCTGAAGCTCCTGGGAGAGATTTCCCTTTCTCTTCTTTGTTTTCACAGCTCCTGGGGTTCAGCTTTGGATTTGTCCCCACCTCTGTATGCAGGTAGCCCTCTGGCATGTGTTCTTCACCCAGACAGGAGGGAGTTAAAGGAGTGGCTGATTAGGGGGCTCTGGTTCACTCAGGCCAGTGGGAGGGATGGGTACAGAATGTGGGGCGAGTCTGCGGTGGCAGAAGCCTGTGTGACTTTGCAACAGCCTGAGGCATGCTGTGTGTTCTTCCGGGGAAATTGTCCATGGATCACAGAACCCTGAAAGTGGCGGGCTGCACAGGCTCCCAGGAGGGGAGGTGTGGAGAGTGATCTGTGCTTTCACACAGAATTCTTGGTGGCTGCAGCAGCAGCCTTAGTGTTTCATGCCCGTCTCTGGTGTCCACACTAATAACAATAGCTCACGCCTATCTCTGAAGCTCATTTAGGCGGTGCTCTGAATCTCCTCTCCTCCTGCACTCCGAAACAATGGTCTCTTGCCTCTTAGGCAGTTCCAGTCTTTTTCCCAGACTCCCTCCCCATTAGCTGTGGTGCACTATCGCCCTTCAGGCTGTGTTCACGCAGCCAATCCCAGTCCTCTCCCTGGGGTCTGACCTTCGAAATCTGAGCCTCAGCTCCCAGCCCCCACCTGTCCTGGTGGGTGAGCAGACAAGGTCTCAGGCTGGTGAGTGCTGGTCGGCACCGATCCTCTGTGCAGGAATCTCTCTGCTTTGCCCTCTGCACCCCTGTTGCTGCGCTCTCCTCCGTGGCTCTGAACCTTCCCCCCCACCTCCACCCCCCATCTCTGCCAGTGAAGGGGCTTCCTAGTGTGTGGAAACTTTTCCTCCTTCACGGCTGCCTCCCAGAGGTCCAGGTCCATCTCTATTCTTTTGTTTGTTTTTCCTTTTTTCTTTTGCCCTACCCAGCTACATGGAAAGTTTCTTGCCTTTGGGGAATTGTGAGGTCTTCTGCCAGCCTTCAGTAGGTTTTCTGAAGGAGTTGTTCCACATGTAGATGTATTTTTGATGTATCTGTGGGCAGGAAGGTGATCTCCATGCCTTACTCCACTGCCATCTTTAAGGTTCTCATATCACATATTTTTGACATTAATTATTAGCTGAATACATTATATGTTAGTTTGGGGAAATGAAAATTAAATTTTAGATCTACCATCTTAAACTTCTACTACATGTAATAGAGTAATGCCGCTCTCTATTAACTGAAATTTAAAAAAAAAACTCTTTTGAATGCAGTTATCATAAGGATTAAATAATTGTCATCAGAAAAAAAAAAAGATTGGAGCAAATGAAACAGAGTATAGTTCAGCAAATATGAAAAGCATGTCAATGCCTTATGTGAGGTAAGGTTTCAAAATATAGTATTTCTCAGCATTTACTTTACCTAAACTAGAGAATTTCTTACTGATCTTCCTATTGTCCACTTGTTGAGTACTGATTGGTAAATCACCAAATATAGAGATTTCCTCACTAAACCCCCAACTCAGTGTTTTAAATTTACTTATTTTGTAGATGAAATTGGGTTTGAAATTCAAATAGTATGAAGTTTACTTTTTTCCTAATCTGTTGGAAACAATCTACTGAATATTTGAAAATATCAACACATAACAATTGTTTTCTACCTCTCATTTCCCTCCAGGCTCTTCCAAAATGCCTTCCTCTTTAAGCATGCTTTATGGACTTGAGTGGTAGTTGGTTAAGTCATACACTGGCCAAACAATGCAAAATTGCTATTAAAATATAAATCTTATCTGATGAATAGATAGGAAACTGTTTCATTTGTAGGAAACTACAAAATCATTTGGATTCCCAAATCATTAAAATTGTGATTACAGGGATAAAAAGGTATATAAGAAAATGCAAAAACCAGCTAATATTTGCTAGTATCTTACTATATAGCTGTGAGTACTAGGAATGTACTGTATGTTACTTCATTTATGAAAAAATCACAACAGCATTTATGAATTTTCATGTGTAACTTCACCATGCACAAAAGGCATAAGATATTTAGTTATTTGTAATTTTACTATATGCAAATTTGACTCTTACAAGACTTGGGGCTTATATGTAGTGCAAACCCAGAAAATGGCCCATCTTCCACATTTCAGTGGGATTTACTCAATTTCTAGTTGTCATGGACTACACAGTAATTTTTTTTTTATTACTGCTTTTTGTGAAAATGACTCTAAAAGAAAGCCAAATGCTTTTATTGCCTTTTATAAAATAAATTTCGTACTAGAGACCTATTTAGCAATTTGGAAATTTGCAAGGGTTTTGGGATCTGCTTTATTATGTCTCAGATTGTCACTGAGAAAAATCTAAGGAAATCCATCATGACAGATAAAAGACTATTTTGTCTTAAAGCTTAAGGAATGAAAGCACTCTCCTATAAAATAAACTGCTATAAATACAAAGCTCATAGAAACCTAAAGCCTTTCCTCTAAGGTTTAAGCTTAAGGAAACTAGCACAAGCTAGGTCTGAAGGACTTGGCCCTTTCCTGCAAAAACAAAGTGTGGACATCAAGGCTTATAGCTAGAAGCCATCTGCCTTTTACAGCTCCTGCTACAAATGTGGAGATTACCTCATCAATCCCTTCCTAGTGACTAAATTAACACATACATACCATTTATGATAAAACTAATGAGATCTCCTCCTTCTTGACTGAGGATTATTTTTCTACTCTCTTTAGGAGGTAATATCACAATTTTGCTTCCCCTTTGCCCTCTTTATCTCAGATACAGAGATTCCCTCCCAGATTCATTTTTTATACTCTTGGGTCCTTACAGAGTGTGCCAACAGATTTCTGGAAACATTTTTTGCTCCTGGGAATTAGCTAATCTCATATAGGTTTGAATGAGGAGAAATCCAATATATCTTCAGAACCAGAGCATTCCAGGGACATAACTACACAACTACACTGATCATTCTTTTTAATAGAAAAAGAAAATGAAGTAAGAATGAGCAGTAGTGACTCTCTCTATTGTGGTGGCTCATTATGAGATACTTAGATTGAACTGCTTTAATTATGTAAATGCATCTGGTAGATGAGTGTTAATAAACTCTTTAAATAAAATAAATCAAAATTCTGCTTTTCCTTAGTATATTGTATTTTAATTAAATTTCTGAGCACAGTCAGTAACTGTGAAGTTATACAGTTGACAAAAATTAATCACTAAGGAGTGTAAATCAGTGAGATACTAGTCTAACATAAAGCACATGGTAATTAGATAACAGATTAGAAGTTTTGCAGATGTCGCGAGAAGAGGACACAGTGGTTCTCATTTTTAGCATTCCAGATAGGTATTATGAAGGAAATGCCAATTTTATGAAGGTCCCACAAACTCACAATATCTTAAAGGTCTTAATATAAAATTATCCAGTGATAATATCCAGTTTATCTTTTTCCATTTTGGAAAAGTTACCTTCCTGCAATACCGTACTCCTCTTTGTCTTTCCACTCTCTTGCTCTCCCTCACACACACATACACACACACACACACACACACACACACACACACACACACTCACTCTCTCTTTCTCTTCATGTTCTCAGATGCACATGTAACCCCAACTGAACAAAATATTCACCCTACCACCAAATAACAGCCATTGGACCAACCTTATAAAGTAGTGGCAGTTTTCCTAATTTCAGGAGTGCAATCTGATTTGTGACATTTTTCATTTTTTTAATCCTATTTAAATCATCTGCATTTCCATAACTCACATCAATGACTTCAGCCTGAAAGAGAAGACAAAGAAAAATAAAGCCCTGTCAGAAGCATTACAGCAAATTGCCCAGTTAGCATAACAAAATCATTCATAGTAATTCAAAACGTTCAAAGGAGAACTAATCTCTCTCTTACCCTGTCCCAATCATGACCTTTCTATTTCTATCAGGGTACAACAATTCTCCTTTGAGAAGTCACTTGAGAAAATGGTTTAGATTCATTTTTGCTCTGCAGTCTCTTCTAAACAAATTACAAACCCAGTTTATGCCTCTAACAGACCACCCAGTTTGGTATATTCTTACATTCATGTTTCTGGAATTTGAATCATTTTACAAGATGCTGCAAAATTAATTTCCTTAAGGTTCAACAACAATCATACTACTCTTAGATGTGAAAACAACTCAGAGATTCTCTACTGTTATCCAAATTAAGTACAAAGTTCACAATACACAGCTGTTCAGGATGTGCATATATCCAGCTGTGAATGACAACCCCCTGGGTTATGCAGGATACAACCTATACAGCCACCTGTACCACTGTGAAATTCAAGACTTTAGAATATAACACCAAACAACTACTTCTGTCACATTTCCCACTACTCCCATAGAGTTATGTTTCATATAAATATTTCTCATTTTTAAAAGTCTTATTTTATTAATGTAAAAATTGTATGCCTTCCTGGAAATTTTACTGGGAAACCTATGATTTGGTGAACCCCATCCCACACTTTGAAAAGTACTGCCCTGAGAGTTCCATCCAGCATACTCCTACAGCCAAGAGGATTCCTTTGGACTTTACTTTCTGGAATTTCTATTATTAAAATAATAGCTGTTATGCTTTCCAGTCATAAAATTATAATACTAAATGTGCTGTTTCAGGAGGGAGGATCTTCAAGATGGCGGGAGGAGTAAGATGTGGAGATCACCTTCCTCCCCACAAATACATCAGAAATACATCTACATGTAGAACAACTACAGGACACCTACTGAACGCTGGCAGAAGACCTCAGCCTTCCTCAAAGGCAAGAAACTCCCCACGTGCCTGCGTAGGGCAAAAGATAAAAAGGAAAAACAGAGACAAAAGAATAGGGACGGGACCGGCACTTCTGGGAGGGAGCTGTGAAGGAGGAAAAGTTTCCACACACTAGGAAGCCCCTTCACTGGTGGGGGTGGGGGCAAGGTAGGGAATCTTTGGAGCCACAGAGGAGAGCGCAGCAAGAGGGGTGCAGACGGCAAAGCAGAGAGATTCCTCCATAGAGAATGGGTGCCGACCAGCACTCACCAGCCTGAGAGGCTTGTCTGCTCACCCGCCAGGGCAGGTGGGGGCTGGGGGCTGAGGCTCGGGCTTTAGAGATCAGACCCCAGGGAGAACACTGGAGTTGACTGGGTGAACACAGCCTGAAAGGGGCTAGTGCACCACAGCTGGCCAGGAGGGAGTCTGGGGAAAAGTATGGAATGGCCAAAGAGGCAAGAAACCATTGTTATGGGATGCGTGAGGAGAGGAGATTCAGAGCACTGCCTCACCGAGCTTCAGAGACAGGCGTGAGCTGCGGCTATCAGCACAGACACCAGAGACAGGCAAGAAACGCTAAGGCTGCTACTGAAGCCACCAAGAATCCTGTGTGCAAGCACAGGTCACTGTCCACACCTCCCCTCCCGGGAGCCTGTGCAGCCCGCCACTGCCAGGGTCCCGTGATCCAGGGACAACTTCCTTGGGAGAACACATGGCATGCCTCAGACTGATGCAACGTCATGCCTGCCTCTGCCTCTGCAGGCTAGCTCCGCATGCTGTATCCCTCCCTCCCCCCAGACTGAGTGAGCCAGAGCCCCCTAATCAGCTGCTACTTTAACCCCGTCCTGTCTGAGAAAAGAACAGAGGCCCTCAGGTGACCTACACACAGAGGTGTGGCCAAATCCAAAGCTGAAACCCAGGAGCTGTGCAAAAAAGAAGAGAAAGGGAAATTTCTCCATACAGTCTCAGGAGCAGTGGATAAAATCTCTGCAATCAACTTGGTGTAACCTGCATCTGTGGAATACCTGAATGGAAAACGAATCATCCCAAAATTGAGGCAGTGGATTTTGGGAGCAACTGTAGACATGGGGTTGGCCGTACTCAACTGACCAGTTTTTGATTTTTATGTTTATCTTAGTTTACTTTTTAGCACTTGTTATCATTGGTGGATTTGTTTATTGATTTGGTGGTTCTCTTCTTATTTTTTCTTTTTTTATTACTTTTTAAATATTTTATTTTAATACTTTTTAAAGATATTTTATTTTAATAACTTTATTCATTTCATTTTTTTTTTCTACCTTTCTTTTTTTTTTCTCCTTTTTCTTCTGAGCTCCGGCCAGATGTCAGGCCTGAGCCTTTGACGCGGGAAAGCCGAGTTCAGGAGATTGGACCACCAGAGACCTCTGAGCCCCATGCAATAAAAATCAGCAAGAGTTCGGCCAGAGGTCTCCAACTCAGTGCTAAGGCCCACCTCCATTCAACAACCAGCAAGCTCCAGTGCTGGATGACACATGCCAAACAACTAGCAAGACAGGAAAATTGTAGAATAATACAAGGCTGACCAGTATTTATTAAATAAATGGTCACATAATATTAATGATCACATTGTAAAAATGAGATAATTTATGTTTTCCATTTCAACTTTCTAAGCTATCTACTAATTATGACTCACTGATAGCAGCTTAAAACAGAGATATTATACATTGGTTATATTAATGAACATACTTTTCATATTTAGGAGAGCTTGGGGAAAAATCATACTGGTCTGAGAGCGTGTAGGCCAGACTATGACTTTTTGTTTGTGTACATACCAGAAAAATATGGCAGTTACTAAAATACCAATTCTGTAAATGACATCAAAAATGGCAATTTCAATTAAAGAGCTCTTCAACTCATCTTCTATAAATAGCATATATAAACGATCAATGCATTTTAACATGTAAGAGGATTTTATCCCACAAAAATATTCCCCAAAACAGGCATAATTTTATCAATTTATTTTGGTTTATGTATTTTGAGGCTATGCATTAAAAGTCAATATTTACAGAAGTCTCAATGTTCTGACAGTTTGACAGGTGATAATAAAAATTATCTATGGTCTTCAAAGGATGCTTCTGAACCAGGTCCTTTCCAAAAGTCTTTCATATTTACCTTCAAGCAAACTGAAAATCACAGATGCAAGAAAGCACATTGAATTTTTCTGAGATAAATCAATATACAATGATATGATAAAATGTCAAGCCATTTTTTCCAACCATTCTTGTTGCTACAATGAACCTCTCTTTATTGCATGTATTCTGTCATGCAAGAAAACCGTCCACTTACCAGTTGGCATACCATGTTTAATTTATGTCCAAATATCAAGGATTAAGTCACACCTGAGCAGTCTCTGGGAAATGCCAAGTGAACAGGAAGGTAGGTGCTTGTTGAACTATTTACTCTATGTGTACCAGTTTTTTCCTAACACATAGAGGACTTCCTGACATATAGGAAAGAGTAAATGAGAGGTGCAGAGTGAAATGAAACTAGCTCTGTTTTATTTTTTTTACCAGAGAGAAATATTAAAGTCTACACATTTATTTTTATTTAAATTTTATATGTTAATTTTTTTTTTTTTGTGGTACACAGGCCTCTCACTGTTGTGGCCTCTCCCATTGTGGAGCAGGCTCCAGACGCGCAGGCTCAGCAGCCTGGCTCACAGGCCTAGCTGCTCTGCACCATGTGGGATCTTCCCGGACTGGGGCACAAACCCATGTCCCCTGCATCAGCAGGCGGACTCTTAACCACTGCACCACCAGGGAAGCCGTATATGTTAATTTTTGAACAAAGAACTTAAAAAACAACAATTGTAACAGAAAATCAAATATTTATACTTTGTTAAAAAAGGAAAAGTATCGGCATGACAACAGACGGGCCATATAGTAACAGCTAAGAGGATACTGGTACACTTTAGAAACGAACAGTAAAATACAATTATCTTCTATCCACTGTAAAATATGTGATTAGAAGGAATCATAAACCAAATAATTAGTAATGACTAAAAATCAAAACATTAAAAAGTGACATTCCATAGCACCAAATGTTCTATGGAACAGTGGAGAGACTATTCTGAGAAGAAGCAACAGAAGAGAATAAACAAGAGAAATGAATAGAATTATTATTTTCTATAGTAAGCTAACTAAAATTAATAGAACAATCATGGAAAGTAGCCAGGTCAGAGAAGTGTTTCTGGGGCCCTCTGCCTGCTGGTGGCCTGGGTTCAACATTGAGGAATAATCCAGAGCCATGTTTCTCTTCTACCTGAGGTAGCAAAAATTATTCATGCTTATGAAATGATGTATGCCTTGAAATTTTTCAGACTTGACATTTTCAACCAAATCAATCACTCTGAATCCTCCCAGTTTTCTCTAAGAGAGATTCTGAATGTACAGAATATTTGAAAAGCCTGCTTTGACTAAAACAGTAATTTTCTACTCAAAGTCAGAAACGGTAAACCCAAGCAGTTCTCATACTGACAAAATACAGGGTTATCAGAAGTACTATTCATCTAAATAGAAATTTTACTTTAGAAATTTACTACTACTTTATGTAATCTAGCTTTTGAATATTCTTCAAATTAAAGTGCTTATATTTATTAAAAACTTGTAAAATCAGAATAATCTCCCATGTTTACTGTTATCCTTTCTAAAAAAATAGTATATTAGTAATGATGAAGAGTTCAAAATTCAAAGGTTGTTAGTACTTTCTTAGTTCTTTTTTTCCAAGTTCACTGAAGCGCTTTCCATCATAGACCTTATTATGAAAACCACAATGTATTAAAACACGAAAGCCAATGCTGCTTCCTCCCACCCTTGTGGCAGACATCACTAATCAATCCTTTCAAACTCCTTCTCAAACTAGTATTCTAGCTAATAAAGACCAGTTAAGATGGGGTTGGCATAAGCATCCAGATACATAAAATATTAAGTATTTTAGTATTAAAAAGCTATTAATAATTTAA